AAAAAAATTGGAAAGTACAAACAAAGTACTTATTTCATATTAAGATCTACATCACTGTCCAAGTAATTTACTAATTTTTAACTTTGATCAGATCATAGATAACAGAATTTATTTTATTTTTGCTTTTGTAATATTTAAGTTAAAAAGTAAAAAACTTATTTTGACTATAAGATCCACCTTCTGTCAAAACCACTTTGACCAAGACATACATGATTAAAAAAAATGTTCGCTTCTCTTGTATGTAAACTTTTTTAAACTTAACCAAACATGCTCTTAGTCCAGTTTAGAAAATTTATTTGTTACACAAGGGAAGTGTAAAAAAGTTGTTTGCATATTATTGATTTTGCTATTATTTTAATTTGCTCCTAGTTCGAGTCCCCTCATAATCACTGAGATGAGTACCTGACTATAAACTTTAGGGCCCCGTGAGATTATTCGAGGTGCGCGTAAGTTAGCTCGGACACCCATAGTTATCAAAAAAAAAAAAATGAAATTGCTCATTATGTGGGTATGAGATATTCATTGACTATTATTGGTGTTTGATTCGTGTATGATATTGTAATAAAGCCTATAGGCATACTTGATGCATTTCTAAGGTGCACATGATCCTTTCTTCTTAGTATGAAATGATGATTATGAAGTGGAAATCTACTTCTCATTCTACTGATATTTCTGCTTCTTTTGTTTTTTATGTAGTTGGTCTTACAGCACTCACTTTTTAATATATGACACCCTTGGAATGTTCACCTCATGCCTATATGTTGCATTTCTGTTTATCATTATTGATGTTTAACAGAAGTTACCTACTTTATCATTGTTTCTCTTTGTTACAACCCCGAATTTAAATACTACAACAGAAGTTTCTTGCCTTCATATTAAATGGCTTCCGCTGTGTACTGAAACCAATTTAAATGTTTGACAATCCTTGTAGTTTTTATTTAAAGTCAAATGACTCGAATCCAATTTCCTTTTCAAAATAGATTTGCTTAGTTATGCATACTGAAATTATTGATTCAAGCACTTCTCTTTGTATAATCATATTGTTAATTGAAATGTGAAAATGGTCTGAATTGAAAATGTAACTTCACTGTTCATTTTCATATATCACTAACTACACTTCTTTTATGATGATTTTTATATAATTATTTTTGAGTACTCGTGATTTTTGGAAGATATTAACTGGTTTCTGAAATCAGTTCTATGGTTTTTCAAATTTGATAGTCTTCTTTTTTTTATTGTCATTTACTATTCTTGAACTATGCATCTTAACTCCATTTAAATCATTTAATGGAATATTAGTTGTGATTCTCAAGGTGGATGGGGGCATTTCTTGGTATGCCATTGTAATGTATTGTAGGGGTCCCTTGACCAGGAAAATGTTTTACATGTTTAGTGATCCCAATGATTTGAAATTTTGGATGGTGAAAATATATAGTGTGGTCAATTCTTTGATGAACCCTTTTTCAACTCTGCATCAGCTGGAGAGATCAACCTTAATACTCTTATGAGCATCTTTCAGAAAGTCAAGTTGGCTGCCTTCTAAATAAAACTCTAATAAGAATACTATCATTGGAGGATGTAAGCAGCGATATCTTTTTCACAAACTCACTTCTCTTTAATGATTTTCAGGTTGTTATTGAGAATCGGGCACTTTCTTGTCTGCTTAACTTGCTGACTCAAAATTATAAGAAAAGCATCAAAAAGGAAGCTTGTTGGACCATTTCAAACATCACCGCCGGGAATAAGGATCAGATTCAGGTACACAAATTAATACTATGAAATTTTTTGGAAGTGGAACTGTTATTAATTTTAATTTTCAAATTAGAGATGTTCACCATTTATATTTTTGTCCTATAGTAGTACTTTAATTTTGATGGATCAGGGCAACTTGCAGTTCTGATTTTTTTTTGCAAGTTTCTAAGAGATAGATGCTGAGCATATGTCATCTTAAAATACAGGCTGTCATTGAGGCTGGTATTATTTCACCTCTTGTCCAACTACTTCAAAATGCGGAATTTGAGATAAAGAAAGAGGCTGCTTGGGCTATTTCAAATGCTACGTCTGGGGGAACTCACGAGCAAATCAAGTATAATTCGTTGTAACCATTATCTAATTCCCATACGTTACTGTACAGTTGGGTTGAATATTAATTCTTCAACTTGGTGGCAGGTTCTTGGTGCACGAGGGATGCATAAAGCCATTGTGCGACCTTCTAGTTTGTCCTGATCCAAGGATTGTCACAGTCTGCTTGGAGGGTCTTGAGAACATACTGAAGGTTGGAGAAGCTGAGAAGAACCAAGGAAACACCGAAGATGTGAATGTCTTTGCACAAATGATTGATGATGCAGAGGGTCTAGAGAAGATTGAGAACCTCCAGAGTCATGACAACAATGAAATATACGAAAAGGCCGTGAAGATACTCGAAACATATTGGTTGGAAGAAGAGGATGAGCAGCTGCCCTCTGGTGATACTACACAATCTGGATTCAACTTCGGAGGTGAACTTCCAGTTCCACCTGGGGGTTTCAAATTCGGTTGAAGGTATAGTAATCACTCTCTTCATGGTCTCTTCAACTGTGTAGCACTGCACGACTGTCTGCGTATTTGAATAAGTTCAAAACATCTACTGAATGGAAACACTCTGGAACAAATAATTTTTTTTTTTTTTTTTTTGGTCAATGCTGAAAATAAATAAGTTACTTATTTTGAAAGTAACCCCATTCTACTCACAAAATAAGTTAACTTTGTTCTCTCTGAAACTTCTTTTACTTGTACAAAAGAAGAAACAGAAATTTACTTAAAAGTAAGTTTGACTCGCTTTTAACCTCTCCCAAACATCATGTTTGTATTTGTAACCAATTGGAAACTATCGTTGTTGCAATTCTTTGCACTGTATTATTGTGTTGTTTCTTCTCCTATTGACTGTCATGTACTTTTTCGGTGTTACATACACTTGAGTTGAAAACTCCTGAAGGTTGGGGCATTTGTTGGTCATTAACTTGAACTGATATGGGTTTCATGCTAGTGGTGGTTCATCTGATGGCATATCTTCTGGAAACTTTTCTTTCAAATTTGAGTATCTACAGTGAAATTGACATAGGCGGGAAAACTTGCAGGATGTTTCTTTCCTTATTGGAAATACTCTAGATCTGGCTGGTCGAGCTTTTGTTCAGAGTCGAGTTGGCGATCTGTCTGTAGTGTTTTCGTGTCGGGTCCAGATGCAAAATGATTGAAGAGATACAGTCTAAAGTATGTTTGATCCTCTATGGTGGCCAAATAATGAAGTGGGTCGTGTCATAGCATCAACCAGGTTAGATGGTAACACTTGTTCTTTAAATGCAAGTGAAAACCACTTGAACGATACTGAGTTCTTGTTTTTTCTACTTTTGGATGTCTTCTTTATTTATTTTTCCTATACGGATAAAACTGTCATCACAAACATCAGTTATACTTCGTGGAAAACATTTCCGGTGTTATGTTGGAGCAAATAAAGGGAAAAGTGTCATATATGTAACTATTGTGAATGTACTAGTCGGTTTTGTTCATAATTTGCAGTCTCATTAATTCAATAAGCTTTCTCCGTGGATTAGTTTTGGCATAAATGAGACTATAGTTCTCATGCAAGACATATTTTGATGTATTTCGAGTTAATTTCTATGGCAGTTGGTGCATGTGATCGAACTTGCCTTGTTATTGCTTCTACTTTTTCTTGTTTTATTAGCTGTCTTCATCTATCAGCTGCTTTTAAAATGACCATTAGGTTCTGCCAAAAATCTTCTCTGTTTGGTTTGGATTATTCCACACCCTTCGGTACTCCTTTAGGTACCACTAGAATAATCTTTTGGGTTTAAAGTACTAAACGGGATTGCATCTTTAAAAAAATCCAATCAAGTTGGGATTATCTCATTATAATCTACAAATAATGGGGCTCAAACGACTCTAATATAGAGTACAAAAATACAGTAAGATATTCCATTCCCTGGGCAGAGCGTCACGTAACCACAGCTCACTCGTTACTCATTATAATATACAAAATTTGGCAGCTTAATGATTCCTTTAATTGGAAGAAATGCTGCCTCACAACGCAATGCAACGTATTAATTTTTTCTTTATTTTTTTTCTTTTACGGGCCGGCCCGGGCTCAGGCCAACTCCCCATTTTGGGGTCGGCTCCGAGCCATGAGCTGGACCACGAGTCGCCCGAGTCACCGAACCTTTTTGACACCCCTAGGCAGCGGGCAGCCATTATCGACTTTTCCAGAAGCGAAATAAAGCAAGATGGGGGAAAAAAAATTATTTATCATCTTGTTTAATTACTTATTTATTTGGGACGACAATGATGTTCTGTCTCATCCCATTTTAATATATCTTGATATTCAAATTGTATTTAGCACTTGTTTGGACCATTTTTTCGAAATATATATTTTTCTATAACTCATTTTCAATTATGCCTGGGCATTGGGTGGATCGATGCAAGTATTTTAATACTTAGAACCACCTATTATTTTTCGAATATTTCGCAAATGGGACCATTCGAATCTTTGTAAATATTGGAACCAAACCTAAATCCAAACCATCGGTTACTCATAACATTTTTATATACATTTAATAAATATTTTATATAAACCATTTTGGTACATATACTTACGCCCTGACTGGGAGAAATTTTCATCAGAATTGTGACCATTTGGCAGCAGATTTCTCACCGTTGGAGCCGCAATCTTGGACTGAATGAGTCTTGTGTGGGACCCGCGGTGGAAAAAAAAGGTCCAAAAAGCAATGAAAATCTAGTGAAATTTTTTTACCATACACGCCCCTAATAGGCTAATAAGCTGATACTTGAAAATATTTATGCAATGGAGAAAATTCAATTAAAAAACTTTCAAGTAGCAAAATATTGGATGTTAAAACTCACAAAAATAGAAGAAAATAAAGTAAAGATCAAAAGTAAAATTATAATATAAAAAAATATTATCTTTCTTAATAAATTTTATTCGATTCATAAGAGAAGCATACTAGGCATATAATTTAATTATAAATAATGCTTAAAATCTTCTACTTTTAAAACGAATTGATATAAAAAAAAATACTAATTAAATACATAAATAATATAGTATCAAAAAATTACAGTCCACATATTGAACTCACTCTATTTGAATAAAAAAATAAAAATATATATTTAGAAAGAGAACCACGAACTCAAGATAATAAAAAGGTACAACACAGCGCAAGCAATGAATATATTAAATTCAATTGCCACGTGTTATGAAAAATTAAAAGAATCACTTAAGTTTATTAACAATAAAAAAAAAAATTGAATTGTAAAGAATAAACGCTTTGATTCATCAACTTATACCACAACCTTTTTGGAATTTTTGATTTGTAAAAAACTCAAATTGTAAACATTAACATAATAACATCTGAAATGCAACAATCTGATGTAAGGCGAAATGTAAAAAAGTAAGAGCCAAACTTATTTTTTAGGGGTAAGAATTTAAAGTTTTAGACTAATTACTACCAAAATTAGGATTTTTAGGTTTTATATGTTTTTTAAGCCTATAAAATTTAAATAATTTTTTTTTTTTTATAAAAATCGGTTCCACTCAAGTACCCACGATTCTAGCTTAGGAACCAAGAACCGAACCCAGTCGGTTATCGGTTCCGGTTCCTAATTTATTTTTGGGAAAAATTCATTTGTAAAAGTTTATTTATAGCCTACTTCAAAATTAAGAGGAGAAGGTTAGCAATTTCAAATTTCAGATACTCTTAATGAAATAATTTATTAAAAAAATATTTTATTAATAAAATATATTAAGGTCACAAATCTATATATTTGATCACAGCTTATCAAGTTAATTGGCCACAAATTATTTATAAATCACAAATTCAAAATTCTATAGGTCGCAAATCAAAAATTTTATAGGTCGCAATTCATTGATCGGTCACAAATCAAAATTTTTATTGATCATAACTCATTTGTCGGTCACAAATCAAAAATTTCATAGGTCACAATTCATTGATTGGTCACAAAATCAAATTTTTTTTGTCACTATTCATCAGTAACAAATAAAAAATTTCATAGGTCACAATTATTTGATCGGTCACAAAATCAAATTTTTTACTGGTCATAGTTCATTGATCAGTCACAAATCAAAATTTTCTTATGTCACACTTCATTGATTGATTACAAAATTAAAATTTTTATTGGTCACAACTTATTTGTTGGTCATAATTACATTTTTAAGGTTACATATTATTTATTAGAAACAAAATACTGGTCACAAACACCCCCTACATCCCATCCCATCTACCCCGACCACCACCCGCCACAACAACTGTCACAGTAACCACACCACCACCACACACCAAACTCTGAAACCAACAACCTCCACCGTCGCCAAAAACCACCACAAGCACCGCCACCAAACAAACTAACAATACTCAATTCACAACTTCACCCAAATGTAATTTTTCAGCTAGTTCCACTCGTCAGAACCACCACCACCTCAACACATTGTAGAACACCAACATACCACAATCACCATCGCACCTACTTCCACGACCACCATCGTAGACCATCATTGCCAACGCCAAAATATGTAAGCAGCCACCACCACCACCACCACCCAAATATCACCAAAAAATACCACAGCCAACAACTCAATCCAAAGCCATTCCCACCTCTACCACCACAACGAACATCACCACCACCGCAGCCACTACTACCACCATATGATTGTAGCCACCGCCACAACCCACAACACAACAATAACCTAAGGTCTTATCTCAAAAGATTTGCTTCACAATCACGAGGTACATCAGGCGACTTGGCCCTGAAGCGACCTGTGATAGAGGTGGTAATGTTCGGCTGCTTCTCAAGGCTTCATTTCGACAGGGTCACTTTCCGACAGAGAGAGGTGAGAACATAGAGAGAGAATTGTCGGTTTTGACGATGAAGAAGGGGTCATTACTTACCGACGATCAGAAGCGAGACGTCGGCAGCTACGATGTTCGATGGATATGGAGAGAGTCAATTTCCGTGAGTGAGGGAGCTAGAGAGAGAAATGAGCGGGGAGGGTTTGCGTTGAATTTTCAATTTTGGTTGAATTATTAATATTAATTATTATATAAATAAATTTTATCTCTGATTTTCAAAATTGAATCTTTAACATTCTGATTTTATGTAATTCCCTCTTTATTTTTTAAGGAACCGGACTGAAATTTTCGATTCAAGTTAGGTTTCAATTCAGGAGATTCGATTCTGATCAAAATGCCCAGGCCTATTTGCAACTATATATTCTCCTATAAAATAATATAACACATGAACGCAAAACTTTCCTTATTTTTTTAACTACACAATCTCTAAAAAATCATTATTTCAAAACACATTTTTTTCAAAAAAAAAAAAAAATTAATAGAGATCAAGCAGTGGCTTAATAAATGGAGAAATGGAGGATATTTTAATCCTCGGTACAGGACGAGAGAAGGGCTTCCTTGATCGCACTCTATTCGTTCTCATTCCAAACTTGGGTAGTGAGAAAGACCAAAATTTGGGCCAAAGACAATAAGAAAAAATTCTTTAATTTTTAATTCAAAATACAATCATTTGAACTACTTTTATTATAATTTACAACAAGGGTATTAATTATGGGACAATTCAAATTTCAAAATATAAAATTCGGGTGATAAATAAATAATTATAAATATTTTATTAATTAAATATATTAAAGTCGCAATTATATAATTAATGGTCATAGGTAACATGCTTATAGGTCACAATTTATTTATTGGTCATATATTATCAAATTAATTGGTCACAGATTATTTTAATGTCACAAATCAAAATTTTCGTAGGTCATAATATATTTCATCAATCACAAATTTAAAAAATTATAGGTTACAGTTAATTCATTGATCACGAATTTTTAAATTAGTTGGTCACAAATTATTGTTTTTTTAGGTTACAATTAAATAGTTAGTCACATACACCAAACACTCCACCCTCGATCCCGATTGATATCGATCACCAATACCTGATCACAAGCACCTAAATAGTTAGCTACAAACATTGTTCGTCTCGCCCCACTACCACCACCACCAACAACAACAACATCAACAACAAAAACAATAACACCACAAACACCAACAAAAACCACCCCCAACACCAAAACATGAAAAACCATCACCACTCCAAAAACCATCAACTCAACAAAAACTATCACCTCGGCACCACTACAAACCACATACATTCACCACCACGCGCAGCGCCGTCAAGCATCAGATCCTATCTTTTCATTTTTTGTTTTAATCAAAGGGTATAATTGTCATTTTTTGTTCCAAAATAGTGAAAAGGACTTTCAGTGCAACGAAATGTTGAAATAAGGGTAAAAATGTCAAAAAAATGAAAAATAGAGACGTTTTACACAATAACCTCTAAAGGTAGGGACGTTTTGCGCCAATTCTCCTTTTTTCTTTTTTTTCTTTTTTATGAAAGCATTATGTTTGTTTTCTTCTTTTACCGTAAATATTGAAATGGTTAAACAATGAATTTTTGTATGAGGCTGCTCTTCTATACATATATTCATACTTTAATTCATAATTGTACACATATTATTCATGTTTGTC